CTTCAGCCTTCATCTATCGCACATCAACGATATCAGTCTTTATCAACAAATATATTTTGTGAGGAATTGAAAGAGAGGTAAACCATTCTCAAATCTCTATGTATTACAAATACAATATGTAGAGGTTAAAGATATTTGATTGATTTTCCACTTCACTCGTCTTCTAGAAACAGGACTCCTCCATTACGGCCGTCTTCTGGCCAGTTACTGCTTTGTCTTCTCGTTTTTCCGTTAACCGTATTTTCCTTCTTTCATTTTTTTTTCTTTTTGATTGTTTGCTGCATTTAAATGTGCGGGGAAAAAAAAGGGGGAAGTGAGGAAAAATCCCGGTAAACTAGACAAAGCACAAGCACCTTCGCGACTCCATATGATCAAACAGAAGAAGAAAGCGACAAAAAATCATAAGTATACTGGTGTGCCGTAAGCATCAAGCATCAGCCTTCTTGGGGCTTTTGAAAATTCCTATCCTCTCCTTCATCTTCTCACTCTCTTCATCTCATATACAAATATTTTTTAATAGAAACAACAAAATAAACTTCTAAAATTGTTAACAACACCCATTCACATGATCAACAGCATTGTTGCAGCTCTATTTGGCTAGTACTCTCTCTCTCTCTCTCTCTTTCATTGAATCTGGCTAGCTATGAACCTTTGCTATTCTAATCGTTTCTTCTTTCTCTCCTTATATGTTTGAACTTCTGGAAATGTTAAACTTCCGTCTGTCTGCCATCAATATCCTATTGCTTTTCCTTTCTTCGATTAAAAACAAAGTGATTATCTCCTTATTCCATTCTGCCAATCACCTTGAGCTTGTCGTCCAAACAACTAGCCAGCGGTTTACAGGTTTCTTCTTTCCGTTTATAAACTTGACCATGAATTTCTCCCTCATATCATTCTCTCTCTCTCTCTCTTTCCCTTTCATCTTCATCTCCGCTTTCACTACTCTCTTTTCCTTTCCTTCTCTATCCCTCTCTCTATTGAGATGATTAAAGTAATAACTGTACTATACAGATCCAGTCAATTGTGTTGTTGGATATCTTCAATTCTCTCTTAAGTCATACAATCTCACTCCTCCTCCCCCCCATCCATCTCCCAAAATGAAAATCAAACAATATATTTTCATTGAATGTCGTTTTCATCTTTTGTCGATCCTGATATTTCAGCTTAAAAAGTATTAGTTCATCGACCCCCCAACTGTTTAAATATTTCTTTTTTTTTTGATCTCTCTCTCTCTCTCCAAACAACTCTCTCTCTATCTATTACTCTTTGGAGAGCCCCCCTCCTTCCCTTTTTTCACCTGCCGAGCGGAAATTCCAAATTGGTTTCGAATATTTATTTAAAAGATTTTCTCTCAACCATCCCATCATATTCTGTTTTCCTTGTTTTGTTCTGAAGATGAGCTCTTCCGCACTTCCGAACTGATCTCCTCGTGTTTTCTTACACTTTTCTCCCATTTTTTTGCTGGCTGAATCTTTTGGAGACAAAAAAGAATTTTTCCGGAACTAATGATTCGCTGAATAATCAAACCGATGTTTGATTTATATTGGATTATTAAAACGGAACTTCTTGGATTATCTTCAGATTCACAAGATTCGAAAATGCTGGACGAAAATCTTCGGTCTGATTTTGAGTTTGTTACTCTCTCTCTCTCTCTCTCTCTCTATGCTCTCCGTCTATCCCTTTATAATAACAAGAAACATACGAATGGCCTTCGTTTATGCAAAAACAACCCCCCCCCCTCCCGCTTTTTAACATCTCAAAAGCTTTTTTCAATTCCCTTCACGACGGTCATCACTTGTTTTCTTCTTTTCATGTTTTTCTTCTGAGATGATGTTTAATTTTGAGATATACGGATCACATTTTATAATTCTTATGAGATTTTCCTCCTCCTACAACTTCTTGTTCGAACAAAAAACATTTTGCTTTCTCTTTCTTCCTCACTACAATCTCACTCTCTCTCTCTCTTTACACGTGTACACGTCAATTAGCCTCAGGCGATTTGAAACTTCCTTGAACTTACGTTTAAGCAACGGTTGTTCTTTCCTCAAAAACCTCAGACCAAAATTCAATTTGGAACAGCCGTGTCTTTGACGACTTGCCGCATTTTGTTAATCCATTTGAACTTTCACTTCAACTCCTTCTCTTCTTGTGCTATATTTTAATTTTCGCTCTGTTTTTGTGGCTTTTCCGGACTTTGAAATTCTTCTGCCGTCTGGAGACAACAACGTGAGGACAGTCGTGCTTCAAGTTGATTCCTCTTCCATTGTCTCCAAACAGACGGGAGCATAGTCGTTTTCCATTTTTCTTTTTTTTTTCTTCGTTGTCCGCATAGTTTGTATTTCTTCCGACAATTTTTATCTTTTTCATCTTTACAATATGAAAAACAGTTGAGGAGGAAAAATTCTTTTTGCGAATTTACGTTTATCACATTCGTTTACCGAAGTAGCCATGTTGTGTCTCATGCTGTTTGCCAGTCAGTATCTCATTACGTCTCTGCTCCTGACTACAACACGGTTGTGCATGACCGCTTTGAAATTTGATTGCACAATATGCAGTTAGTCATTCATTCTTAACTTTTCTTTTTTTTACCACTTTCCGGTTGTGCATAATCATTCTTGGTATTCGTTGACGCAGTGAGCGGTTGTGCATTGACATCTGAGAAGTTCAATGTCAATTAGCAGTTAGTTTCTTTTGCTAAACGAAAAACATTAAAATAAGTTTGTTAATGAGATATACTTGAACTCTCTCACATTAATGTTTCACGGAGAAGACGATGATGATTGTCTTCGTTGTCATTCTTCTGCAAGTTCTTGTTATGTGTGTGTGTGTGGTGTTGATGATGAATAATCTCATTGACGAGGTTTGAACTGTTTGAGCTTATAGTCATTACTTCCAAGCATCTGATCTCAACAACTGATCATTCCAAACCTTTTTCTCACCCTTTTCTCTCTTTAGCCTTCTATACCCTCTCATTCTTTCTATCTCTCTCTCTCTATTTTCCTTCTTCCACCTACTCTTTACCTTTTTATTGTTTTAACTCTCCGTTTTTGTAGATTGCTCTTATCATTACGAGCAACAAACATCACAAACCATCTGTTTTTAGCTTTTCCTTTCCATCTTATCATTAACGCTCTTTAAAAGTATTTCAATTCATATTATTGTTCACTGTTATTATGATATTCCATAGTAAACTAGCTAATGATGATGATGGTGATGGTGATGATGATGATCATCATCATTCCATCCAATCATCTCTCTCTCTCTCTCTCTATACATGTATAACACTGTGTATATTCATGTCATTTCTCTAGGTCAACTCATTCATTTTTACATCTCGTTCATAATTAAATGAAATAAAAAATATCATTTTCCCATGAAAATGTATGAACAGGTTCATATTTTTGAAAACTTGTTCAGTTGTTCTCTTCAGCAGAAGCTTCTATCAATCTCATCATCATCACGACACTTTTATTTTCATATTCAGACCTTTTTAGTCTTTTTGACATTCTTATAATCTTCTCGTCCTCTTATTCCATCATTTATACTCTTTTAACTTTTTGAAGAAAGTGAAAGACATCAACATACATAGTAGATAGGAAGAGAGAGAGAGAGAGGATGAGATATTATCCCGTTCTCGAAGTCTTTCATTCCTCTTCTTCTTGTGGATTCGTTTCTCTTCTCCTCAACAAGAACTTTCACTGTTTTCCTTCTCTTAAATACTACCTCTCTTTCTTTCTCGCTCTTTCTTTGTGCCGCACTTGTTGCTTCGGAGGATGATGGAGCCCAACTGGTGGTCCGTTGGGTGTCGTGTGTCACATCTGATTACGTGCTGTGGTCGCCAATCGGCGCCATACTTCCTTCTTTCTTCTGATTATCTTGTAATTCTCTCTAATATTTATAAATCTCTTTCTCTCTCTCTCTATTTCTTACATACTTCCACTCTCTCACTCATTGCCTTACTCTCTCTTGTTTCCCTGGTAATTATACGACCGATGGAGAACATGTATGAGCCAAGACCAGAAAATATTGTTGTGAGGGTTATTTATGTAATATAAAACATTACAAAAATATAAAAAGAAACAATACTTCCTTCTATATTCGTCCATTATGGTATTCAGATGAGTAAGCAACATTTGCGGGGCTTTAGAGAGGTTTGTATTTCGGAGTGGTTTTGCCATAGCTTTACCTAACCGGTTCCTCTTTCAGTTATCCATCCCCCCCTCCCTCCCCTTCTCTCTCTCACTCTTTCTCTCTCATTATCAATAATTTCATTAATCTTAATTATATATGCTTGAGGCTATAATATGATATTCTTCTCACTTTTCATTCGAAGAGATAGGTTCGATGAATAAAGCTGTCATATCACCTCTTGTTCTCCAGAATTTATTATCATGCAAATCCAGAATTTATGATTTCATTCGTTCAACCTCTTGATTTCACAAATGATTTGTCCTTCCGTTGACCTATCGTTACTTCATCATGTACCTTCGATGTTATTGTAGAAATAGAGCTTCTACATTCTTCTACTCTAATATCCATTTCCAGTCCTCTTCCTACTCCTCTTTCTCTCTTCTTCAGATCCTTTCATCTTTTCTCTTCATACACATACCTCTGATCCTCCTCTTTCATAATCTCTTTGTACAAGCAGCTTCATACAGAAGAAAAGAAGAAAATAACCCATTCTGTACTTTGTGTTGATGTAAACTTCATCAGAACGTTTTTCCTTTAAAATTTGTTTTTCCAACAAATATAATTTTTATTTGACAAAGTCATCTCTTCTCTCTCTCTCTCTCTCTCTCCCTCTTCCTCTCTTCCTCTCTCTGGTTCTCATTGTACTCTCTGAAGTAACATTCCTTCTAGCTAATGTTTTCTTTCTTTTCTTTCTTTATGTATTCCTATTCAACATGTAAATATGTTTTTTTTATATTTTTCTCTTCATCAACTTATCGTTCGCTGTCTCCCACCTCGTTTCTATATTTTTCTTCGTTTCAGCTCACATAATGACTACAACAGCCGAAAGCAGAATTCAGTGTCATCTGAAGAAGTTCGGAAGTGAAGTTCGTCCACCTCCAATATCCCGCAGGTTAGTTTGTTCCATCATACCCCTTACTCAAGCCTTATTTCTTTGAAGAGATGATCGTATACGCTCAATAGCCAGTTCATTTGAAGAAATCACAGAATCAGAAGAAGAAGAACTTCAGGACTCAATGCCATACTATTCTGAAAGCTGTGGAAGATCACCATATGCAGTTCAGTCAGAATCACCATTTTCTCAGAGAAGAAGCAATTCCCTCACCCACACTCCCTGTATGAGTCCAAAGTTTGCCAAGTGGGTTTCAAAAGCTTCTTTGCAGCCTAAGCTAGTTGATTTTCAGAAGAACTTTTCCAAATCGTCTAATGAGAGGATTCTCAGATCCTTTGTTCCGCCGCAAATCTTCACTTCCAACAATTCTTCAGCAGTCATCAGATGGTTTCTCCTCAGATTCATCATCAGATCTTCTATGTGAGTATATATAGATGCTTCAAGAAATGATATAAAGCATTTGCTATGAAATCTAAGCTCATTGAATAATCTTGCAGCTCTTCCACCAATCCCTGAAGCAGCAACACCAGCTTCTCCAGTTAGCTCTTCTCCTTCAAATCTATTCAAGGATTCCAATAGCTTCTGAAAGCCGAGCAGACAATCAGAGACAGAAGAAATTTCTATTAACTTATATCATTAACACATCATATACAACCGGGTATTATGAAATCCGGAAAAAAAAATTTTTTTTTTCAAACCAAATCCGATACGTGTGTGAAAAAATATTTTTTTTTTCAAAAAAATCAACTTTAGAACTTAATTCATGTTCATTACATGTGAGAGAGCTTAAATGATACCTACAACACCTTCACAAAGCACATATTCATTAGATTTCAATTTCATAGGCAAGTTCAATATGTATTATTTAAGCTTCATCATACACTTCGTTCATCGTTCATTACAATGCATTTCTGGTCAACCTTTTTGTTTTGCTCTGATGATAGGTATTTTCATCGATTACGGTATAAGAGTGTTTACTTAAGAAATTAAAAAAACGAATTCTATATAAGGCTATATCGATCTCTGTTATCTCTCGTTCACTCATATTTTCTGATAATCTTTTTATATTTTTGAGAAATTTTATTGTCTTTGATGAAATAACAACCGTTCATTAGCTTAGCTTACAATACAAATGAAATATTTTCAACATCATTTACGTGTTCACGTCATATTCCACGTCATATTACTTTCACGTCACGTCATAGTTCACGTGTTGTAAATTCATTTATGTTAATGAGTTAGCTAGATAAGATTACAAGCTATTAATCAATTGATTAACAGCTTTTATGAGCTTTCAAGGAAATGAAGACCTGAAGACACATATTAACAGAGTAACACAGCATATCAACCTCTCAACCCCCTTACCCTTCTCTCGTCCTTGGAAAAACAGTTGGAACAACATCTCCAATGGCTGTCTATATCATTAAGCTTCAATTTCGCAAAACCTTGATCTTCAACAGCAACATTATTAAAAATCTATTTTTTTATTTGGAAAAGGTATTTTCAAGGAAGTTCTCGGTACAGAGAGAGAGAGAAAGAGGAAGAGAGAGAGAGTGAGAAAGAGAGTGAAATCTGATCGGTCGGTCACACATTGCAACGATATCAGTGATGGAAGATGGTTTTTCACGTAATTCGTTTATTGAATTCATATAAAGAAGGTTTCTGGCCTTTACCCTTTTTTTTGACGAATAAATCTTCAAGGTTTAGAGAGAGAATGATGAAGAGAGAGAGAAAGAGAGAGAGACTGAGAAGTTTCCGATGGCACCGGAACAGTCTCGTAGTGTTGAACGCCATTTGCCGTTGTCATCTCATCGTTGACATCGTTCACCCTAGAACTTTCCATCGGAATTCTTCAAAAACTAATCTGATTTTGACAATGTTTGCATTTCTACCAAGGTTTTCTCCGTTGAGTTTGCAAAAATAGTTTTAAAAAAACTTTTTTTGCTTTCAATATGAGATAATTTACAGTTAAAAAGGTTTTTTTGGTTGGAGAGAGAAACCTTCAGAGATGAAGCAGAGAACAAGTTTGATGCTGTTTGCTTCATTCAATTGAAATGAAAGAAATTACTGGAAAATTGACTGTAAGAGTTTAGAAAACAATTTTTTCATTTCAAATGTTTCTTTGTGCCCTCGTAAGCGTCTGGTCAATTTTGATCTTTGCTTCGAAAGAGAATATAACACTCAGAGAGAGAGAGAGAGAGAGAGAGAGAGTGAAGCAGTTAAAATAAAAAAAAAAACGGAAAAGCTTTTGAGAGAAGAAGACCTGTTAAGGATAGAAAGATAACATTCGAAGGCTAAATCCGTTTTTTGTGTTGAAAAAAAGAAAACATTTCGTTTAAGAGAGTAGTTGCCATTGAAAGTGGAAACCTCGACCGACCGGATGAGGTTGATTGTGTTGACGAAAATGAAAAAGTGAATGACTTGTGAATAAAGGAGAAGAAGTCATTCTCTCTCTCTCTCTTGAAGCTTCATCATCTTTATCAGATATTCTATTGGAATAGAATATATTGCAACAACAACAATGATGAAATGGAAAGATCAATGTCATCTTTACCTCGTTAACTAACATCCAATTCATATATCATTTTCGTTACTCGACCTTGTAATCATCTTCTTCCATTTCTTTGATTTTAATCATTTTTATTTTCACCCGTATTGAACTAGACGAAGAAGGAACCAAAAAAAATAATATCTTTTCTACCGTAAAAAGAAACTTTACGATAAACTGAAAAAAAAAATAAGAAAGAGAGGTAGAGAGAGATGCAGAGAGAGAGAGAGAGAGAGTGAATGAGAGAAATGAATTGGAGGTGGTAATGGGAAGTATTCGACGTTTAAACTAAGAATGCGAAAAGTGATCTGGTGTATGATCTGAAACAGTCCAGAATTGATTCAAACAATTAGAAGAAGTTGAGTGAACCAAACGATTTATAACTTCATATCAAGTTGATGTTGCTGTTCATCTACGCTTCAGACTTCATCTCATCATATAGATAAACGATATACTAACTAGCATATACTCATCTTCAAGGTTCTCGTCATTTTATTTTCCATTAATTAAATAATTAAAATTACTCCGAAACTGATTTTCGATTCAGTCGATGACCGGCAAACTACAAAGCTTCTTCCGTATTTCGATTTGCGGCTTCTGTATGCCAGTTGCAGGGTCAGCAAAACTTGGAAAAAAAACTTTGAGAAGATTCGTTTCTAACTCAAATTAGTTAAGTAAAAAAGATTCAGAATGTATAGAAATTAGAAGAATCGAAGAACGGAGAACAGAAAGAGAAAGATGTGAGGTGAGAGAGAGACATAGAGAGAGATGAATAAGGAACTCAAGTGTTGAGAAAAAATCATTAGAGATTCTTGAGACGATTCGTTTTGCTTATTCGTTCCTTTTCCATATTCGTCAGATATAATAAGTCACGAAAGGAATGATTATTCCTAACCGGTTGTAAACTATGTAACATGTTGACGTTTATATTCCAAACCTTAGAAGAGGCATTCATAGTTACTTCATCAACCTCATTTACTTGGCCGCTTTTGTTTCCTCGCTGATTGTCTCCAGAAGGTCAACTAGAATCATTCGGAAATTACTTTTTTTGTACCCAATTAAGTGTTAAATAAAGATAAAATAATTGTTAACAGCTTGTCATTCTGGAGAAGAAAGAAACAAACGATGGAAGGGAGAGGAATTCAAATGGATGGCTCGTATGCTTGCAATAGATTGTTGAACCTCTTTCTCTCTTTCTTTCTACATTCTGGCCCCGGCCTACAACCGAAACTTCAAAACGACCTGGAACCATTTTTTTCCGACACGAATCTGACTTTACACACTTCTAAAGTTCGGAATCGGTCCGACTGAACAACAACGGAACGTACCACATAAAGCTGAATGATCACATGCTGCGAATTTAAAAAATTGCAAAAAGCTGAAACCGCCGAGAACGGCAATGAAGGAAGACCCGATTGCTTTGACCTGTCTTCATCCGAAACACGAAAAATACGAAATAGGATGTAGTATGTGGAAATTAACAAAATTAGAACAGGGAAACAAATAAAAATCACAAAAATGACAATTAGAGTAAGACGTATGAGAGGGCTGCAAAGCAAAAATCGAAAATGTCTGAAATCGGAGTCGTTGCTTGGGAGCTCTTAAACCAGAGTTGGCCATGAACTTTCGTATAATTATAAGGAAAAACCTCATACTCTAAACTATCTTTTTCTTATCGTTTGCCAATTAAAGTTCAAATAAATCCCTTTTGTTTAATGCCCAACAACATCTAACTGGTAGATGATGATGACGCGATGTCGCGCGCGACGTTCCGCCCATGCATCACCTCCTTTGGCTCGACTATATAAGACGAACTGATTGACGACAATGGCAGATCGTCTGAAGCTCAACTATCTCAATTAAAACATTTTCACATTCTATTTACTTTTCCTTTACTAAAAAGGTTTTTCAATCAAACGCTTTTCAGCCTGTAGACATACGCACATCAAGTCTCTTCTTGCCCCCACAGCTCCTCCTTCAACTTGAATAACCTCAAAAACTATATATATTACTTTATAATTGGGACAAGTTGTTTACTTAACCCTACTCTCGAACAGATTTTTTTGGTTCAGTCTCTCAATAGTTCGACCTCCCTGAAGCTTCTTCAAAAATATTTTTTCAGCTTCAATTCAACCAGCTATTAGGCCTTGGTCCTTAAACATAACTTCTTTACGATCCGGTTACTTGTCAAGTAGTTTCTTCGTAGTTGTATGCTATGCTTTTGCCCTTTCTTATTCTCTCTGTTGACATATTGTTCTTCTCTTTTTTTTGTCACCTGAAATCTTATTTTCGCTTATAACAGTCTTACTTGCAGATGTCTGATCCCAAACAAGAACTCCATGAGGCCGAGTCCCTCCGCAAGTTGGCTTTCTTCGGTATATAGCCTCTCTGATCTATCTCTATATCATGTTTCTAATATAGGAATTGCCGTTTCCACCGTAGCCACCTTGACGGCCATCATTGCTGTTCCCATGTTGTACAACTACATGCAACATGTACAATCCTCCCTCCAAAACGAAGTTGACTTCTGCCGCCACAGAACCGACGGCCTCTGGCAAGAGTATGGACGTGTACGTTATTCTCCATTTCTTTTCATTATTCAATCTCCCATTTTCCTTTTTTCGTTCTACTAGACAAAAACTGAGATGAGTGGAACGATCTCCTGCAGAAATTGAAATTTTACGTGAAATTGAAAATTCCAAAAAAGGAAATTCCGCAACGAGTGCTATCTGAGAACTGTTCCTGAGGAATGCAAAAGAGAAAACTACTTTGACAAAAAGATTTTTTCATTTCTGAACTAAGAAAGAGAGAGAGAGAGAGAGAGTAATAGAGAGAGAGATGGAATGAGAAATAGAGGGAGAGCGAGAGAGAGAAACAGAACGAAAGAGAACTTCTCTTCATCTGTGTTGGTTTCTCCTCTCTATCCTGATTTATCCAAATTATTATTATAACAAAAGAACCAACCATTAGCATATATGGTAACTGCAATGGAAGAAGTGAGGAGAACGAGGAAAAACATGTTTTTTTACCGTCAAATTGGCTTTTTGACAGTCTAGCCTCGACTATCCTCATTTTCCAGAATCTCATATTATTAATTAGCTAACTAACGCATTATACTCGTTTTTCTTGTATATGTATAGTTAAGCATAGTTAATCTCAAAGCCTTAATGAAATTATGAAATGGCTTCTCGACACGTTCAATCACATAGTTTCTTTTACAGTTCGAGAACGTTCAAGGAGTTAAGGGACGTCTTCGTCGTGATGTTCACTACAAGCGTCATGCTGCTGGAGTAACCGGAAATCATGGACGTCGTGCTGTTGCTCGTGGAGCTAACACATACGCTGCCGGAGGATACGGAGGAGGGTACGGACAACCATCCAATGATGAAGCCGTCATCGGAGGAGGATCCGGAAGCTGCTGTTCTTGCGGAGTTGGATTGGCTGGACCAGCTGGTAACCCAGGAGAGGATGGACAACCAGGTCTTGACGGACAACCAGGAGCTCCAGGACAACCAGGACAAGATGCTAGACCAGACCAAGAACCATCTGAGGGAGACTTCTGCTTCACTTGCCCACCAGCCCCAGCTGGACCACCAGGAAGACCAGGACCAAAGGGAGCTCCAGGAGCCCCAGGACAACCAGGAATCGGAGGAGGAGATGCTCGCCCAGGACCACCAGGACCACCTGGACCACCAGGACCACCTGGAAACAACGGACAACCAGGACAACCAGGAGCTCCAGGAGCCCCAGGAGTCATCACCGATGTTCCAGGCACCCCAGGACCAGCTGGTACGTACTAAAATTACTAAGAGTAAGAACATCTCATTACTTTCTTTTCAGGACCACCAGGACCACCAGGACCATCAGGAACCCCAGGACAACCAGGAACTCCAGGAAACAGCCGTCCAGGACCACCAGGACCACCAGGAGATGCCGGACAAGATGGAGCCCCAGGAAACCCAGGAGCCCCAGGAAACCCAGGAGCCCCAGGAGAATCCGGAGCTGGAGGTGGATGCGACCACTGCCCACCACCAAGAACTGCTCCAGGATATTAAGCTGGATAAGCTATTTATGCCTAGAACACACAGCGACTACAATAGGCTTGCTTATCAATTATACAATATTCTTGAAGTTTATTTACTTCAAGTTTTCATATCTACCTTATACTGCAGTAACTCAGCGATATGACCAAATATGTAAGGAGCATAATCTCCATTCTCCCTTCCCCCATCCAAGTTTCTCTCCAATTAATCACCACACACCTGTAGTTCCACCGTTTAGACGTCCACAATCACCCAATCCTCCAAAACATTCCACGGTATGTTCCGTCCCCACTCTACTATCCATCTCTTCTTTACGTTCTCGTGGTCTTGGTTGTTGCTTATGGATTCTTATGTCTGTAGCAACTCTACCTTCTGTACTTCTTACTTTGTATAAAATAAAATCGTTTCGAAAAACATCTTCCAAGTGCCATTTCTGACAGACCTCTACCTATGATGCGAATCACCGAGAATTATCTGACCAAAACGGAAATTCGATTTCAACTTTCGCTTTCCCGTTATCTGAACAAGTTTCTCGGAGATTGGCAAATGGCCAATGTTACAACCAATCACGATCAAAAAACTTCAAATAAACGGCAAAACTCTCTCTCATACTCTGCCATCCGTTTTCCAATTTACTTTTCAATTTCCAAAATCAAACTATTTTTGATTTTTACGATTCACAATCAGATGTTATTACGAATACCCGTCATTGGAAACTGGTCATCAGCAGGGCATTTCGAGAGAGAGAGAGAGTGAGAGAGAGGGAGTTTCATGTTTCTTTCTATGATATGCTGATTATGGTATACCATAATGATCATTCACTTGGTGTCTATGACTAGACATTGTAGTTTAACCCGTTAAGGGACACATGTCGAGGAGGCGGGAAGTTGAAAGTACACACAAGTTAGACTCCTCTTTGAACTTCTTATTGAGTGATCAGCTCTTGCAAACGGTCGATCAAAAATTGATTTTTGTTTTTTTCTCTTTATTTGTTCATTTAAAGACGGAGAGTAGCGTTTCCACTTCTCAACACATCTTAATGCATTTACATAGATTATTAGGATCAGCTTTAGCCATGGTGTCTGCTATGAACTTGTTAACAGGATTCAGAATCTGAAAGACAGAAGTAGAGAAGAGGGTATAAACAGACTTCTCGTTACATCTCTATCTAAACGAATACATATATCTCGGATTATCTGGAACTTGTTGAGACGAGTGTTACAGAAGGTCTGAATGGAGGAAAATAAAAGTGAGTGAAGGTTATGTGGTATGGTTAACCTCAACTGCATATAGGGCATGGTTTACAGTGGTATTGGCTAGTTTAGGAACTTGTTCATAGACTTGTCCAACAATCTTGATACAAGCATCACAAATCTGTTCATTTCTCTTAATTATGTGTATGTGTTATTGTATAGTTAGCATAATTAACCTCTAGACGTTGTAATGAAGACTGTGAAGTGCACAAAACAATAATGAGAAATACGAAGATAGTTCTAGACATCTTAATCATGTTATAGTAAAAGAGAAAATGGCTTGTTGTATAGATGGTAATGCCTTATATGTACTTGTTCACAAATACAAATATTTATTTTATATCTTACATAATATTAGTAATGATTAAGGATGTCATGACAGACCTGCAGATCAGCTGAACGTCTTGCTGATTCCCTCTCCCCAGATTTGGAAGCAGTTCCAATGGATAATAGACAAGAAGAAACATCATAACAAAGGATGTACCTATGTGAGTATTCTATCTTCGAAGTTCTTGACTATACCAATAACCCTCTTATATAGTTAACGATATATGGAACTACTTGATGTGATACCTATAAGTTACAACGTTCAACCGATCTGTGAGTCTGCATTACATTACCCTTTGCTTCTGTTTTGTTTTTGCATTTCATAAATTAAATATTTGTTTTGTCTGTAGGTTGTCTGAAAGCTGAACTATCACATATGGCCAAGCTACAGACGCAACACCTTCGCATGAAGCTCGTCTCGCCCGTTTAGTTGAATACGACCGACCCTCAACTGTTGAGGTGCTAGAAATAACTTGGGCTGTATTAATGAGCTTCACGTGAGCTTCACGTAAACTGCTGAGAACAACCTGGTCCACCGTTGAGCCAAAGAAGCAAAGGATCAGATGATGGATGAGATGTTTGAGATTCTGTTAACCAATAATGGAAATATTTGGTATTTGAAGCT